AACAAAGCTGTTCCCTCTGTCGCACCTGCCATGGTGGCAGGATGCGAGGCAGGTCAGAGAAGGCCGTCCTGCTGGAACTGAGCCGCAGGAGACAGAGTGGACAGGGACTGCTGGATTAATAAACAGCCCCTGTGGGGAAACCAAGCAAAGGCAGCTTCGAATTACCTCTGGTCGCAGATGGGCAAGTAAGCGAAGGGCTTGAACTGTTTGATTTTGTGGCAGTGTGAGGAACCAAACAGCTTCATTTTGTGTGTGCTAGAAACATGTCGCAGCAGGAGAATTGATGGCGAATGCTGCAGGAAACTGTATCACACAGAAATATTTCTGAAAGGGTTGGAAATGACACATTGGCGTGTGCAGGGCCAGTGAGAGACCATTTTGGGAGAAAAGTGATTGGTGTAAAAAGAAGAACATGAACAAGGAGGAAAAGAGAGATCCTAAAAGAAGTTACGAAGGTCAGATATAAGGATCTTTGCTCATTTTCTGATCAGAAAATAAAGCATAAAGTACTTATTTCTGATAGAATAACACCAAAAAACTAGCGCAGGGCGCACTGGAAAAAGAAACAGCTCTTCCAGATACTTATATGCATGTCAAAAGCTTAGGGGTGACTTGCATGATGGGCTTATTTATAAATTTACCTGCATCATCAGTCCACAAGTCTAGATAGAGCTCATTTTGTACAGAATCAGACCCTGGCACACGAAGCAGAGGTACTCTGTTGATCGCAGAGGACATACAAGGGTGAAACAGGTCCCAAGTGCTTCTTGAAGACAATCACTCCACTTTTAATCCAAATCCAAATAATTGGATGTTCAACCTCAAAATTAAATAGCTTCCTAATAACATTTAAACAGTGAAAATGTTGTGTGCCTACGTAACCAACGAGGAAGAATTTCTAGCCTCTTTTAAGATGAAAGAACTTCCCCACAGGGCTGAGAAGTGTCTGTCCAAGAAACAGAGTAATCACTTGAAAATTTGCAAGCTATTACAAGTATTCAAAACAGAGCTGTTATGTTAACTCAGCAGTGCTGTTATTCACAAAAATGGCTAAAATATTCCAACTACATTAGCACACACGCTTTTCCCAAGCCTTCCCATACCATCTTCCATCTTCTAATACATCTTTGACACTGATGTACTGCTTTCTTTTTGTAAAATAACTCTCTGTGATGTCTTGTTTTCTTTTCAAAGCATGATAGTGGAAAATACAAAATTCAAGTCACAGAGCCTCCTTCTAAAGATGGCTAATGGTAAAATATTCCACCTGGTAACAGCTTCTTATTTAAGAGGAGCCAAGTTAGCTCTGCTGTGTCTAGCAGTTGCTTTCCAGCTGATAGGCAGAGAACTTTATATGTCAAAATACAAATAAACAAAAAAAAATTTAATCTGAAAACAAGAGATGCCAATCAGATCCTGTGCATTCCTTTTAAGGAACTACATTAAGCACATATAGCAGCCAAGCTGGTGTCACTGTGAAAATAAATGGCACTGAGAATTGTGTTGCTTATAGTGCATCCTTGAGCAACAAGAGAACATGCTGAGGTCAGAAGTTTCATCTGCTCAAAGAGAGCAGAGAACTCTCCTAGGAAACAAAAGCCTGAAGAACAACTGTCAAAGTTATGCACTAAAGGGATATTCTGGGTGTTAATTCAGAAGACTTTACCTACACTATATGAAGGACAGACATGTCTCTAGCACGGACTGCTCATACGACACATCTTAGGCTGGTACCAATTTCAGTGGAGGGACTAGTTACCTGAGGAGGTAAATACTCTTTTCCATCATAAATTATTATTATGGACTTCTCAGAGGCTTGGAATATTAGCACTGGTGGAAAAGGCAACATGTATCACACATATTATTCGTACAAAACCTCAGACTGATATAAAATTAGATACATATTTACAGACTGTCAATAAGAAAGTTTATCGATCAGTAAGTGGATCAGTTCATGAGGAAATGCTGCCTACTCACGTCTATTTACTGCACTGCACATAACTCATATGCTCAATCCAGATAAGAAGAGCACATTGACAAAGCAGAGTATAAAGGCTCTCCGTACCTCACCTTTCTGGTGACACAATCTGGGGGCACAAAGATTTAAGTTCTATAAGCATGCCTTACCTACAAAAACCTGTTTCTTATCCTGATCAAAGAGGCACAGGCACTGGAAAAGCTACATTTTGCCAACTACTGAAAGACATCCTCTCCCCAAACACCAAAATCCTCCATCTTTTTCTTAGCCAAAGCGTTGCAAGTTTAGCCAGGTAGATTCTTTACCACAAGAGGCAGTTTACAAACACTAGAAGACATACCCCTTGGCCTAAAGTCCCGGGAATATACCCTTTCAATATTCTAATTGTCATAGCAATAGAAGATTAAGCATGTCTGGCATTTTCTGGAAACTAAGGGACTATTTTATTTCCAAATAATGTATAGTATTATTTCCTACTAGTAGTATCATCTGAGGAAAATCTGCCACTTGCAGTGTAGGAGAACACTGAAATGAAAGCAGAAAACCTCATGCTATAATGCATCATCCTCATACTTGGAAGAAACTCAAATAGAAAAGTTTCTGATGGACAAGGCTGGCACACATTATATTAGAGACCTCGGCCTCATCTACAGGGTTCTTAGAGTTAGGAAAACAAAAGTACCTGGCTTGAACTCTGGAGAAAGAAACTAGTAAAAGAACTTACTGAAATAATACCAAAATCCAGTACTGACTATGAAAGCATAACTGGTGCTAAATAATATAAATTTGTGCCTGCATAAGCCTGACAACTGCCCAATAAAAAAGTGTGATCAGTGTTTTTAAACATACTATGAATGGAACGTTCCTTCAAAATATTGTTTACATACAGTCATGACAGAATATTGTGGGGTTTGTGCTTCTCTTTACAACAGTTAAAATCATACAAGCATGTCTGTGCAAAGACAACACAGTATATCATCTCAGTTCCAAGGACTCCTACTAAACAATGAAAAATGTAGTAGCGATTTCTAATAAAACAACATTTCTCCCTTGATACAGTGGAACACCTTCTGTACTGGAAAATTCATTCTAACATTTTCAAGGTTTTCTTCAACATTTGCACTGGACCGACTTTTGGACTCTGGCTTCATAACTGAATTTCCTCCAGCTGAATTAAGGTCAAGAACAGTATTCATACTGTGCAAGGGAAGTTTGCTTTCCTGCTGGGGGGAAAAAAAAAAGGCAATGTAAATAAAATGCTATTCACATGATATGGCAGTACTTGTATGAATACCTTAGTACTTAGACATTATTTTCCAAAACAGTTAAAAATTCATGAGTTAAAACTATGACAATTTGCCATATGAGGGTTTGCATTTTACACATTCCTTTCATTAACTACTTGGACACTAGTTATATGTTAATAGCTATTATGCACACATATCATTAATGTTCAGCTGTGGACATGTGGGAGAAAACTTTCAAATATTAGGAATGTCTGAAAGGTTATTTCTTCTTAAAGGATTAAATCAATCCCATGTTAGCCTTTGTACTTAATATTGTACATTTCCACACTGTATATTAAATATATTAATAAATCTAAATGTTAGAAGATAATATTTAAACTGCATTGATACCTATAGTCTGTGTGCCAGGCCCCCCAGTTGACAAATTCATAAGAAACATATTGCCACCCTCCCCATATGACTCTATTTGCCAAAGCTGGCATTTAAAAACGGAGATGGGCATATAAGAGTTTGTGTCAATTTACACTAACAGAAGGACAAATTTCAAAGGTCTTAACACTATGCCACTCAAGTCATATAAGTTTTGCTGCTAATTTCACAAAAAGCAACCCTGTATTCATGGCTGTTACGTGAACAAAATCCTTCTCCCAATGTAAGGGATCAGCCTCTGCACTTAACAGCCTACAGAACTTGCCCACTGCTTAAAGCTGTATTGGGATTAACTGGCCACTGGAGGTTTGTTTTGGTTTGTTTGTTTGTTTTAATTTAAACATGTTAACAAGGTGAGAAAGCTTGTATTATTATTGTCAAAGCTCTGAGAAACGTCCACTCTGAAAAACTGCGGACAGTTTTCACAATGAGGCTGTGAGAATGTAACAGAGAGATCTTAGTGAGACAGATGTACCAATAACCATGCCTCATAATGGTTCCTTCGGTCAAGGAAGCCACATAATGGTGATGCACTTCAAAGGCAATTTTTTGTATCTAGAAGCAAGGAAGTTTGATTACGATGCCCTCAAACCAGGAAAATGTCTCCAAAACATTTAACCTGAAAAGCCACTATGAATCAGAAACAGACTCATTTCTCATCATAGCCAGTATTCAGTAAGAGCATTCTGCAGTTTGTGGGTTAATGAAAAGTTATTAACACCAAAAGATTTTTACAGCTCCAACATAGATTGATGTATCAATTGAGGACGCTGGGTTCCCATGCCTAAGAGGGACATAATTTTATACAGGATATATTCGGTCAACAGCAAAAAAACAATGTAGCAAGTAAAGTGCTAGACACAGCTTGTCTAAACTGTAAGAAACTGACATATACTTTTAGAAGGGCACACCTGTGTTTAAATGAAACTACAGAAAACATCCTATAGCAAATAGCAGTTGCAAATACATTGTCTTAATGTCTTTAACATTATAAAAATTCCTGTAACATGAGCAGCTAATACACAAAAACTTGCAAGAAGTGAACATTTTTCATGAGAAGCTTAAAAGGTATTAAAGCTTCTGCATCTCTGAAACGTCATTCCCGTTAGACACAGAGAGGACGGGATGCTGGTAAAGAGGTCTCGCAAAACGAGGTGCTCCCTCAAACCAGAGATCATCTGAATCAATTACTGGCTTGGATTCTGAGTCTACAGCTATAGTTAATACCTTACTGAAAAAAAAAAAAAATCTGAGAGAGCAGGAAAGAAAGAGTTCATAGCCTGAGCACCACCACCTGCCATTTCTCATCTTATTTGAATTTGTGTTGAGATCGAACGTTTCCTGACGGCGACAAGGCACGAAGCCGCGCAGTGCCGCAGCCCTGCCTCCCCTCCCGGCAGCCGCAGCCCTGCGCCCGGCCGCGCTCCGACCCACCGAGACGCATAAGTTTACGAGGAAACGGGAGGTATGTGGCATTTCGGAGCTACGCGAGGTCTGCTAATCGGGCTGTTACGCCGGACTGGCGGTGCAGTAACAGGCTCCCTTCCCACCCTGGCTCCAGGTACAGCTCCCGCCGCCTCCCAGCAGGGCACAGCGCGGCGCCGCCGGAGCTGCGTCCCGCGGGAGCCTCTCCCCGCACCTGCCCCGCACGGCAGCGCGGCAAGGGACAGCCACGGAGCACCGCGGTAAGGGACAGCCACGGAGCACCGCGGTAAGGGACAGCCACGGAGCCCCACGGCAGCACGGCCGGGGCGCGCCGCCTCCCCAGCGGTGTGTGCGGAGCACTGAACAGCGCCGAGCGCTTCGCTCTCCTGGCCGTGGGAAGGGCAGCCGGGAGCACCTACCGGGAATGGCCAGGTTGGTGAGCGGGGTGCTGTGGAGGCTGCCGGGCAGCGCTGCCATCCAGTCGGCGAAGAGCAGCTCGTTCTTCCCTTGTGATGAAGCCATGCTGCTGCTGCTGCCGCCGCCGCTCGTTCCAACTCGCGCGGCTCCGGTCCCGGCCCCAGCCCCGCCGAGCCCGGGCCCCGCCCGCCCGGCACCGCCTCCCCCC